ATCTAACATCAGCAACAATATCCCTAGTACCATGACCCCTTCTAAACCCAACCTGGACTTCTGGCAATTCTCTGCTGATGTGCTGTTCTAGTCATTTTTGGTTACTCTTCAGTAGAATCTTGCTTGCTTGTGAAATCAATGATAATATTCTGTAGTTTCCACACTCAGTTGTGTCACCCTTCTTTGGAATGGGAACAAATATAGATCTCTTCCAGTCAGTTGGCCAAGTGGTTTTTCTCCAGATTTCTTGGCATAACTTGGTGAGCACATCCAGAGCAGCATCTGTTAGCTGAAATACTTCAACTGGTATGCAGACAATTGTATTGGAGCATTATTACGTTCCTTTCCATTTGGTGATGTACTGTAGCTAGGTAAGATGCTACCATTATCTGAAGATGCATGGATGATGAACAAAGAGGACTTCTCTGTACTATTTTTGCAACCTTTTGCTCATCTGTAACTTATAGTTTTAAAAACATGAGAGATTGAGTTATTGGATTGACCAATTACATGAATATTGAGGTAACCAAGAATGAGGATAGGGTTATGTTGCAGAGAAATCTATAATATAGTTACACAGGACATAAAAGAATAAGCATTCTTATACATGCTCACCAGTAAAATTAACTATATATTAATATTTGCTTTAATTTTCTCTTTAAAAATATAAATACAGGGGAGTTCTGGTGGCCTAGTGGCAAGGAGCTGCAACTACAATCCCAGAGGCGCACTGTTCAAATCCACCAGATGCTCTGCTGGGGAAGGAGGGACAATCTCCTCCTGTACCAGTCAGATCTGATTTGACGGTACACTCACACAAAAATTTAAAAAAGTATATAAATACACAGGAGATACAATTAAAATATCAAGCCTGATTTTATCCCTTTCAGATGTTCTAAAAATGACAGAACAATTTGTATAAAATATTGAGATGTAAATTCTACCTAGATCTGAAGAATTCCTTAACCTTTCAACAAATGGTGGGTGAGATTATTTCCATCGGAAACTGACTCTCATGCTGCCATTGATGAATCTGGAGCTGGAGAGATGTTGTTTTAGATGATACTGTTTAAACCCAGAGAGAAGAAGCCACTGACCAATGTTCAAGGAGCACAAACCTTGTTTTTACTAACTAGAGATAAAGGTAAAATGATGTCAGTTTTAATGAGAACTGTCCCTTGAGTGTTTCTTACAAATCCAACACCCTTGACCATCAGTATGCAGGCAGATACCTTCATTAAGAAAAGTTTCACCCTGAAAGATAGAAAACCTAATGAGGTCTAGACATAGAAGAGGTCACTCATTCATTTGGAATCAAGGTTTTTCTTGGTGGTTAATGAATCTAGTCATATGACTTATGACTCTCAGGAGAAAGAATATGAAAGAAAAAAAATCTCTCCTTTCTATCAGGTAGAATAAACTTGATTGTACTGATTTTGTTAGATTCTCTCTATTTTAATTAAACTAGAGGGGAAAATCATCAAATAAGAAGATAATGTGAGGTTACTGATCATATCAAGAATTACAGAAAAGAGTTACTTTCAGACTTTTTTTTCCATGCTTTTTTTTTTGAGGGAACTAGATGAAGAAAAAAAACCCCCAACAACCCCAAAGTAAAATTATCTTAAGATAAAAGAACTATTACACGATGCCACTGTTGTAGAATGGGACTGTCCTTGGGGTTGGGGAGAGACTGAGTAAGATGGGTTCAATAATGTATACTGCACTGAAACAGA